CCTCTATTTTTTTTTAATTGATACCCTTACATTTTTAACACCCACACTATTCTCTCATGACACCGATTATGTTACTGACCCCATGTCTGTCTTGTCCCACCCACATTATCTTCCTTTTCCAGAATCTCTGCCTGAGATCAGCTACACACCGATTCACAAGAACACAGGGCCGGGAAGTGGGGAGGTGAGAGTGTAAATTTAGATCTCCTGTGGGGTTAGTCTGAGCTCTTCGTGGGGTGGGAGTGCTCCAACCCCCACGGGAGTCCACTGTCCCAGGAATAAGCTCTGAGGGACACCCTGGTACTGTGGTCCTGGGCACTCTCCATGACATTCATTCCTCCTCTGTCCCTAGTTACCCAGAACCTTGCCCCTGACTCCACCTCCCAACACACACCGGCCAAGCCCGGCTCTCAGACACCCCATGGACACGCTCACATGCACTCCCGCGCAAAAAGACCTTGCAGTAAGAATTTGACCAAGAGACTGTAGCTGCTGTTAGAGAGCAAATGGGGAGTCCTCCCCTTCTAGAGTCTCCCAGAACCACTGCACCATGACCCGCATGCCAAGTGGCACGATGACAGATGGCTGACCCCCTGGACTGAACTGAGCCTCGGGATTTTGAAAAAAGGAGTTCTTTCTCAAGTCATCCCTCTGTGTGCCCAGACGGACTTGGCTCTCCCTGAGAGTAGGACCTGAGTCTCCTCTTTCTGACTCCCGGAGCAGGAGTGCTCCGACTCCCTTCATTATCCATGCCTCAGTTTCCCCTCTGTGGTAGCCTTAGGCATGCATCACTTGGACCTTCCCTCGATTAGGAACTCGCCATTCAGCTGTGAGGAATGCAGTGAGCTGATGCCTCTAGAGGTGGCACTTTCAGGATCTACCCCAGCATTGGAGCTGAAGCCCTGCTCTTCCCAGACAGCTCCCAGCCGTGGACTGAGCACAGTGGAGTTACTAAGGCCTCTGTGGGCCATCTTTGCTCTGGAGCTGGCTGACAGGTTGGCAGAGGCTCTGCCTGATCCTGCTCTCTCCTCCGTTATCTTTCGCAGGGTTCCCCTGCCACCTACCAACTTCCACTGTCTTAGTTCCATTGTGGCATCTGCTCATGGGAGGGCCTGAAATGACGCATCGTCCTCTCTGTTCCCTCTAAGCCCTGACCTCAAGGACCAAGGGATGGTAGAGGCCATTCCAGAACTGGTCCCCCCCTGTCGTGTCAGGACAGCTCTCCCTCCATCACCTGTGCTCCCGTGAACTTTGGTTTCTTCCTAGGTGCAGCTCTAGCACCACCAGAAACACCCCCCAAGCGCGCCCCCCCTCCCCCCGCCCCGCAAGCAGGGCTAGATTCCCCTAGAGGCATCTGCAGAGCCTGTCACTGGCCAACATCAGTGTAGGTGGGTGATACATACAGGATAAAGGAATGCTATTTGCTGCCTGCTGTTAAGGAAGGGACAACGGACGGAACATCGTTTCTTTAAATACCTGTCTGGGCCCCACTTGCCCTCCACCAAACCACAGCTTGGGGTGAAAATGCATCTTCTCACAGGAAGAATGGACCCCAAAGAAGGGCAAGAGATGCTGCATCCACACAAGGATGTGCATGCTCTGGAAGGGGAATCCTGGAGCAGTGACTCCCCAGGCCAGATCCCTGCCTGCCCAACACCCCCCCTCCCCCCATGCAAGCCAAAACTACACTGTGGTCCCCAGGCACCATTCCCACTCTACTGCAGCACCACACCACCAGTGAGTTCCTGAGCTGGGAGCCTTGAAGCAGTGAGCGCACGACTCAGGGACGTGGGGAAGGACTGGGGGAGGTAAGGGTGGCACTCAGTGCAGGAATGAGGCAGGCAGCCAGGAAGCCAGGCAGGCTCCAAATGAGTAACTGCAGATTCTTTCCTGCCGTGCCTGTCGTCACGGGGAATGGCAAGTGACTGCCTCTCTCTCTTTCCCCCCATCTTCTGCACCCCTGTGATTTCCGGCAGGCAGCTGGCAGCCCGGAGGGCTCTGGGGTTTGGGCCACAGACAGGGGATCCAGGAAGGGACACCTCAGAACAGGAATCAGTGCAAAGGGATATGGGGGAGCGGGGGGGCAGAGGGTGGCTGCCGCCCCCTCCCCAAGCCTGGACTGCTGAAGCAAAGGACAACTCCAGATGAGGAACAAAGACCCAAGTCCCCGCTTCTTACCCCCTCAGGTAGCCTGCCCCCCACCCAACCCTCAAATTCTGAAATTGGCCCCCTCCCCCCAGAAGCCTTCCCAGACCGTTGGACCCGTGAAAGGATGGCTTCCCTATAAGATCCCTCAGGACTCTCAGGTGATGCCCCCTGGGCCTCCGAACACAGAACCAAACAAGCGGAAACCGTTAGTAAAAAACGTGGTCAAATCTAACCTGGGCTGAATTCTTTAAGTTTTTGTTTGTGTTTGCTCTTTTCTTTTTTTCTGCTCCTTCTTTCCCTTCTGAATTTGTTTTGTGCCTTTTGATATGTAAGGAAGGGTGGGTCCCCCAGGGGAACAATTCTGAAAGAACAAAGGAGTGATTTTCATGGCAAAGAATCTTCAGGGAAACTATTCTCCCTTAGTCACCTGCTTTCTTCCTGGGAGCCAGGGGACTGCCTGAGCGTGGAGAGGCCCTGCCAGTCACCCTCACGGCCGCTAGCCTGCCCAGGAAGCTAAAGAGGTTTCTCGTGGACCACCCTCCCGAGCAAGGGGAAAGGCAGCCCATCTCTGGTTGGGAGCCTTAAGATTCCCTGCTGGGCCAGTAGTCAGGTGGCAAAGTGGGGTCTGGCTCCTTCCTAATTCCCCAATCTTCACCCCCATCACAAAGTACTCTCAAGTATCCAAGATTCCTGACCTCGGAGAGAGCAGAACTTCAAGAGACCAAGAGACAAGCTTTAATGATGGGATTTCAGCATTCTGTGACTGGCTAGGCGGTGTGTACATATGTGTGTGCATATGCGTGTGCGTGTGCTTGTGCGTGTGTGTGTAGAGTGGGCAAGGGTTTAGGAGAGCCAAAGCCCACGGATTTGCCATTCATGTCTAGGACTCCTAGGACACTGTGCCAGCAGAGGTGACTCCCCAGAACTTGGACCCAATTCCACTGTCCTGCTGGAGAACAGAGGCCTGAGAAGGGGTTCTGTCAGGGTCACAAGGGGAGGCAAGGACCCCTGGCTCCTGAGCCTAACTTGGCCCCCAGAAGTGGAGATGCCTAAGAAGCCTGGAGATTCTTCAAACACATCCTCCACTAAGAGATTGGGTCCAAACCCTAGAACGGCCAGGTCAGAGGTAGAGGCATCTCCCCTGTTTCCCTGTGGGGGAAGGGTTTATGTCCAGGCTCATCGGGAAGAAGGTGGAAATTGTGGAGAGTACAATAGCTCTCCTGTGGCAAGAGGTCCCAATGTCTTACCCACAGCACAGAGCCCGGCACACTGCAAGCTATTAATAAATGTGCAAGGGTGGGGGGTAGGGAGAGAAGGAGGAAGCAAATGCTAGCACCCCAAATAAACCTAAATTGAGGAGGGGCTGGGAGCTCATCCCTTTCAGGCTTTTCCCTAATTCCCCATAACTTCATCCCACTCCAGAAAGTCAGCGGCTCGAGTATCCCCGCGCTGTAGGGAGGGAAGCCAGGCGGGTCTGCGGGGAACTCTGATGCACCTGCTGGTCAGCCAGCGCCCGGATTTGGACCTCCTTCAAGCAGCCTCGCTTCCGGTTGGGAGACCGAGGAACTCGCCAGTCCTCCCCGCCTCTCCACTGGACACTGTCATCCCCTTATCACATTCATCCACCATCCACCCTATCTCTGCCGCCACCACGGCCACCTCCAGCCTCCATCACACCTTTCCGAGCCCTCGGAAAGAGGGCAAGGCATCCACCTGGCTCTTGGTCTACAAGAAGACCTTCTGGGGCGCGGCACTGGTTGAACCGTCGCCTCATTTTAGGGACGAATAAAACTGAGCCCTGAGGACGCGAAGTGGAGACAAGCTGGTCCGTTGTCAACCAGCGGCCGACCCGCTCGGGCTTGGAAGCGAGGCACCAGAGGCAGGCGGCCCGAGGCCAGGCCTTTCACTGCAGTTCAGTTTCCCCGGCTGTAAAACAGGGAAGGCGGGAGGAGGAGGAGGAAGTCTCCTGCTTCATTTTAGGTAGGTTGTGCAGCCCGGTCCTGAGCACCAGGGACAGATCTTCCCTCCCCGCGTGGGGGCGCTGGAACTTCGGCCCAGCCTCCCTCGGGAGGTGCCGGGGCCGAGACTCGCGAAGGCGCGGACGTGCCATCCTCCCTCAAGCACGACCCTTCACTCTCGGGTCGTGAAGGGCCCGGGAGCCCAGCCAGTGCCAAGCGCGCCCTGCCGGGTCGCCTGGGCTCGGGGGCGGGGCACCGAGGAACCCAGAGTCGGGCCTCACTCGCGCCCTTGTTTCCCCTCCCTCGGCCCGTCGGGAGGAGGGATGAGCTGGGGCGATTGAAAATGGATCAAACCACGTGCCCCACCTCCGGGTCGCTTACAACCTAGGACCCTACTCGGGCCGCAGCCCACAGCCTGGGGGATAAGAAGTGACTTGTCCTGTCTCGTAGTCCTGCCCGCCCGCACCAGTCCTCCGAGGCGCAATAATGGGGGAAATGGGGAGGCTGGCTGGGAGGCTTCCTGGAGGAGGTAGCTCTGAAGGTGGACGTGGAGAGCGTCCTGGGGCGGGGCTGAGGGGGCGTGCGGGAGTGGGAGATGGCATCCAGGCGCTTGGAAACGTTGTGAGCGAAGCAGGGAAGGATGCGGCGTGTTGGGGTCTTGAGACTCCCGAGGATGCGGTCGGAAGGGGAGAAGGCTTGTGAATGCCAGGCGACTGAGGACTGACGTGCGGGGATCGGCGGAGGGAGCGCGGGGACTCCCCACTGGCAGGAGAGCCCCCCCAGCCCCGCCCCACACCTGAGCGGCGGCCCCGCCTCTGCCGATCCATTGGCCAGACCCGCCGCCCGTCAGACGAGCCCCCGGGGCCCGCCTCCAGCACCGAGCTGCGCCTCTTCGCGCTGGGGCCACCGCGACCGCGCCACTCTGCCGGGCCTCCCCGCCGTCGACCGCGCGGTACGCCGCCTGCCCGCCCATTCCCGGCGCGGGGCCGCCTGCCGCGGGTTCCGGGCGGACCATGAGTCTGAGCAGCCCGCCGCCCGCCGGCTGGCTATGTGTGCTGGCCAGCGCCCTCGCCTGCGCCCTCGGCCCCGCGGTGAGTGCCCGCCGGGGAGCCCAGAGCCTCGGCCTCCGCGGGTGGAGTGGGGGCGGCGGGAGCCGGGCCGTCTGTGCGCACGTCTGTGTAAAGGGAATGCGGGGCACGGAGCACCGGGTCTCGCCTCCCAGCTCAGCCTCGGACCGGATCTAGACCCGAGGGGTGGGGTCCTGGTCGGTCCTAGTCCCTCCCAGCGCTGCTGAGGGCCCGCTCAGAGCGGCGATCTGGGACACCGGTGGAGGGGCGCCAGGAGAGAGCGTGCTCCATAAACTTGCCTTCGGTGTAGTGGCTGCGTTTTGCGTGGGGCGGGGAAGTCAGTGGGTGCAGGGTGGGGGGCTGTGGTCGATTGAAATGGAAGGCCTGGTAGACAGTGGGTGGCAGAGAGGGGTGTCAGTGGGGGTCGTCGTTGTGTGCTGTGCCCCTCTGGAGGTATCGGTGGGGCGTTGTGTGTTACGTGTAGGAGTGACGTCTCAGCAGCAGACCCGCTGGGCAAGGGCTTTTGGGATAAGGTGGCTGACTGGCAGGCCCTTCCTGTGCGCTCCCACTGAGCAGAGCTGACAGGTAAGAGCCCCAGGTGGAAGGTGGTGGGCAGTGAGAGGCTGAGGGCGGTGTTTATGAGGAGGGGCCAGACATGTGCTTGGAGAAAGCTGAGCAAGGTGCACACAGCCAAGAAGCAGTGGCGTCCTCTTTCTCCCGCTTCTGCTTCCTCCCCACATAGGTGCCTGTATGCCTTTGATGTGTGTGTGCCAGTGAGCCCCCCCCCCGCGTGGCTGTGCTCTCGTGTGTGGCTCTGGGTGGCTCACCTCTAGGACAGATGCTGATTCAGGCGGGAGATGCATGGATCATCTCCCTCTAAGATCAGGGAAGACCTCAAGCCTCATTGAATCCACCCAAGCCCATTTTACAGATGGGCAAAATAAGTCCCAAAGACACCTGTCCCCCACTAATCAGTCCTGGACTGAGGTTGATTTTCTCTCTCTCCCTATCCCAAGACTTGAGGAATCTGGGGTTGCTGCTTAGTCAGAGCCTAAAAACCAAGTGGGTCTCAGATCTGACACCAGCTCCAGGTTGACTGGTGGGTGGGTAGAGTATATTGATCACCCAGTGTCTTCTATCCCATGATTACCTCCCTTACCATCACCTCCATCGAAGCAGGAATCTCTGTGTTTCCATCTAGCTAATGTCTTGACATCCTGGGGACAAGAAACTCATTGCCTGTCCTGGGAGCAGACCTTGTTAACAATTGGTGGGAGCCTCCCCTCCTCCCACTGAGAGGCATGAGACCCACCTCCTGAGCTCTCAAAGCCTCACTGGGTTCTGGCCCTAAGGCCACAGCCCCAGACCTCTGCACCACTTAGAGCCCCTCAGTGTCATGGAGCTTCCAGGCCTTACCCACAGCCCTCTGGCTCACCCCACTGGGCTCTGACCACACATTCTCCTTGGATGAGCCCCAGTTCTTGGGACTACCACTGGTACCCCATTCCCCAGCCTTGGAGGCTTCTCAGCCCAGGGGCAGGGTGCTTTCAGCAGGGTCTCCTTTCCTTCTTGGCCACATCTGCCCCCCCACCTCCTGAGACAGTCCAAGCCTGGCTCCTCCAATGCCTACACTCCCCTGTCTTTCTACATTTTATTCATTTAATACCCTACTCCATCACCTCCAGACAGCCTTCCCTGATTGCTCCAGCCCACTCAGCCCTTCCCTCTCTGACCCCACTCTTCAGCCCTACCCACCTCCCAGCCTGGGCTCTTCTGACCATCCCATCTGTCATCCTCGCCGTCCCCCCAGCGCCGTGCAGGCCTGGGACCGCAGAGGGAGAAGGACTGGATGAGGGCAGCCTGGAATGAAGGCGTCCCCACATCCTTCTCCACTTCTACCTCCTCCCCACCAGCTCCCACCCTGAAGGGACACCAGGCAATCCCGCTCCAGCCAGACTCAGGGTTGAGGGGGGCTGACGTTAATGGAGCCATAAAATGGCAGCTGCAAAGTTCAGTGTAAAGGCCCAAGGCCTATCACTCCTGTTTATGGGGCCCTGACCTCAGTCAGGGAAGGGGGAATCTCTGAACAGGGAAGCAAAAAAGGAAAGAAAACCTCTAGTGTCTCAGAAGAGGAAGTCTGCCTGAAGGCCACCTGTCAGGCCTTCCACGGTTCCTACCCCCTGGACAGCAGGCACAGGGGGCAATGCCCAGCCCAGGGACAGGGGGAGGGGTGTCAGAGGAGGAGCAGATCCAGGTCCTGCCCTGGGAAGATTCTCGGGCTGGTCAGGGAGAGCAGAGCCAGTGGCCCAAGAGGAAGAGCCCAGGGAGGTGTGGGGTGCAGCCTCCCAGCCCTGAGGCAAGGGTCTCTGAGAGGAGCAGTCAGGGAAGGCTCCCTGGGGGAGGCAGGACAGTGCCCTAAAGACTTTGGCCAAAAGGGGCCAACCTTCCACCAGAAACTATAAAAGAGCCTCTGTTGGCAGGACCAATGGGCCTGATCCCAGAAGGAGGAAGAAGCCCCCAGCTCCCCCCCATGCCCCCAGAAGCTGGGATGGCCCAGGGGTTGGGAAAGTTTGGCTCCTCCTAACTCCTCCCTGAGGCAGATTGCTGGCCACCTGCTCCTGAAGGGCTCAGCCTCTGCAGAGGCTGTCCACAGCTGGCCAGGCCCTCTTGGCCCCCAGCAGACCCACCTTGTGGGCTTTAGGAAACACAGCTACAGTGAGGTCCGGCCTCCTCCTCGAGTGGAGTGACAACCTCAGGCCCACCCGGGGCTCCTAGGGGACTGTGCTGGAAGAGTGACCTCCCCTCGGAAGTTTCTAGCCTCCCATCCTGGTGCCCTGAGTCTCAGCCCTCCCTGATGTTTTTGGAGCCATGAGACCTGGTCCTCACCTTACTCCATGGCGATGGCCAGTTGCCCTTGAGAACGTGTTTGATCTCTGTGGAAGGGCCTCGGTTTCCTCATCACAAAAGGGAGGGTGGGAATCTTGCCCCCCCCCCCCCGGGGCAGGAGAAATAGGAAGAGAGGGCTGGGCTGGAGGCCAGCTCCACCCGGTGACTGGGGCACAATCTTCCCCCTTCCTCAAGACTTGAGGGAGGACCAAGTGCTGTGTGACCTGGGATAGGCCATCTCTTCTCTTGATCCCCAGCTCGGGAGCCCTGGGGACAGGGGTGTCTTCATGAGGTAGCCAGGCAATGTGGGGGTGAGGCTCCAAGCCCAGGTAGGTGATGGGTCATCTCAGGGAAGGCTGGGAGGTAGGCAACAGTCTCCTTACACGGTAGGCAGCCTCAGTAGCAACCCAACTCGCAGGACCCCTCACTGTGGCCCCTCTGGCCAGGGATGCAGGCACAGGGCCAGGGGATTAGATGAAGCCCTGTCCCTCTCTCCCTGCCTTTGCTGCTCAACCCCCCACACTCTGCCCTCCCCAGTTGGACTTCCCAACACAAATGTATGATATGTGCAAAGTTGCTCCCATACCTTAGATGTACTTCAGAAGTAAAAGAAACACAGCTTCATCTCTCTACCACATTATGGGTTTTTTAAATTAACTTTTTACTGTGAAAAAAAATTTTTTAAACATATAAAAAAGAGAGAGAGAGAAGAATATAATGAGCATGGAAATAGCCAATCCTTGGGGTGATGTCAGCAAAATGGCAGTATAGGAACGTCCCGTGCTCGTCTAATCTCAGTCCCTGGGTTTGACAACCGATAACCCATAACAATTAATATTGGCATCATTTCCCTTTTTTTGGCTGAAGTATTTTAACATCAAGTGTAGACATTATGACCTTGCACCACACATTATTTTAAGATGCATTCTCTAAAACCAAAGGACATTTTCCTGTATCGCTACGATACCACCACCACACCGAACAAAATGAACAGGCAATTCCTTAATATCTTATGTTCAGATATCCCCAAACAGCGTTTGGTCCAGCACCCCAAGCTGCATGGTGATATTAGGGGTCTGACTGCAAGGATCCTTTGCCTGTACAGCGAGCTGGTGGGTGGGTGAACATCAAGCCCTTCCCTGGACAGGGCCCCAGTCTTTATCTGCACCCCAGTTTCATGTGGCTCATGATGTGAGGATCTGTATCTCTCAGGAAGTGCCTCCTACTATCTGAAAAACAAGTTCTTCCTGTACACATCAGAAAAGGAGGAAGAGGTCGCCAACCAACTCTGTATGGAAGACTCAGCCCATTGTCTGTGCTGGTTTACAGCGCTCTGCAGGTGGCCCCAACACCAACATCATCACCCCACACACCGTGTGTGTAAACTGAGTCCTCTTTCCCCCGGGGTGCCCAGGATGGCTTTCAAGAGGCAGAGGATTTAAACCTGAGGCCCTGCTGCTCCTGCTTCGCTGGCCATGGCCACAGTGATCCTCTACAAAGAATCCCCGAGAGGCTTCATGTCCCTAAGGATGCCCCGCCAGAAGGGCCCTTAAAGATGGCGCCAGGCTTAACCCCCGATGGAACATCGTTAAGCTTGTGTTCTAATAATGAGAGCCCTTGTGCTGGGACCACCCTGAGATGTGGAAAGTTCTTTCTTGCCCCACCCCCACACCAGCATCCCTGGGTCTCCCTCTTTGTCTTAACCCCTGCCCGCCCCCCACATACCACCCAGAGCTCAGCCTCCCCCAGGAGGAGGTGTGGTTAGCAAAATTTGGATATTCAGAAAGGGGAGGCTTCAGATTATTGGCAAAAGGATGTAAAAATAGGGAGGGGGGAGAAATCAGACAGCAGTAAGGGGTGAGGGAATGCCCGACTCGAGGCCTTCCCTCTGGTGGCACAGCGGCCGCCCGGCAGCCAGCGGGACCTGCAGACTGCCTGGTCTGCACGCCAACACGTCCAGGCTGTGGCGAGGCCCGGGTCCAGACACAGACGGCAAGGCCAGCCAGGCACAAGGGGCTGGCTGGGCCCTTGGCAATGACTGCTAACCTTTCTTGGCGGTCCCCTGGTGTCCTTGACATGTGACCGTGGACACAGCCCTGGAAGTGGATGGTGCTGTCATTGTCCCCCTTTTACAGATG